GGTTTGTCCAGTGTTTGTCAAGATTTGACCACTTACTCCTACTCATCATTTGGTTTATGGTTCAATGCACTACAAAATGATAAAAAGTAAATTTCTTTTTCTTTTTTTTAAGACAGAGTCTCACTCTGTTGCTCAGGCTGGAGTGCTGTGGCGTCAGCTCAACTCACAGCAACCTCAAACTCCTGGGCTCAAGCTATTCTCCTGCCTCAGCCTCCCAAGTACCTGGGACTACAGGCACACGCCACCATGCCTGGCTAATTTCTATATATTTTTAGTTGGCCAATTAATTTTCTTTCTATTTTTTAGTAGAGACGGGGTCTTGCTCTCGCTCAGGCTGGTTTCAGCCTGATCTTGAGCGATCCTCCTGCCTTGGCCTCCCAGAGTGCTAAGATTACAGGCGTGAGCCACCGCACTCAGCCAAAAGTAAATTTCTTGAATATTAAAACCCTTGTCCCATCTAAAACTTTTGTACAGACTTGTTTAATGTGCAGCTCTGACTTTATTATTCACCATGGTCTATAGGTTTAGCTAAACCTTTTGGGAATTGAAGTGAGTAAACTAAAAAACAAAATGTTTATCATGGGGAAAATGAATCAAGGGTATAGAGAAATATTTATCCGGGTTGTTATGACAACAGAACAAGCCATCACAACAACATTCTTTTCTTTTCCATCTGTCAAACTTTGGCTTGACAGAGCCCTTAGGAACACTCAATGTCCATCCCGAAGATGAAACGGAGGAAAAATGTTATTCTAAATTGGATAGATTTTTGGCTCAACTTAAAACCCTCTTCTAACTCATACAATATTTGCCATGACTCCCTGCCGTTTCCGCTTGCCGTGGGGAGACTCGAGCAGTGAGGAGTAAACAGATGGTGTTTGTGGGGGAGAGGGCTGGGGGTGGTGTTGACAGACCCCGAGCAGGCAAATGTCCCCTCTGGGATGTCATGGGGCAGCTCACTGCCTTTGTGGCATGTCCTGTTCTCATGCCCTGTTCTGTGGTCTCACTCAGAGTGGGGCTCCTGATGGGAAGTGCGGGAGTAAGGAGGCGCTCTCCCCCTCTCGCTGCTCGGGGCCAGGAGTCGGTGCTTGTGCAGCGTGGGAGGGCACCGGCTGAGACGTGTGCTGAAGGCCTTCCACACAGACGTTTCTTGGTCAGACAACTTGCAGCCGGCCATTGGTCCCTAACCTCTTGTTGGTCATGGCCAGGCCAAGGAACCCTTCAACTTCATCAAGGTGGATACAGATCCTTCCCCCTGGACCATGCAGGAATTTCAGGGAATTTCATGGAGCACAGTCCCAGGAGCCTGGAGCACTCTGGCCCATGGAGCCAGGGAATTTCTGAGCTGGGAGAGACTTTAGGGGTCACCCAGTCCCACCTACCTCACTTGGACCCCTGCTGGGAGGCCCAAGGGAGGGAAGGAGGCCCCTGAGGAGAAAGGCAGACTTCTCAGTGACAGTTGTGACCTGACTGCTGAGCACAGAGGGGTTCCCGTGGGCCTGTTCTAGAGACTCTCCTTGCACCGCTCTGTAGACAGGGCCCCAGACGCCATGGCCCGGCTCGTCTCCGCTGTCTTCTCTGGACTCGGGCAGCTCTCCTACTACCTGCTTCCTTGAGCACAGTGACTGGAGCTCTGCCTGCGGTTCAGTTTCCTGGTAACAGGTGCTCTGTGACAGGGCTAGGGGCATGAAAGGACCAGGTCAGACTCCCGGGTGGAGCCTGGCCCAGAGGCTCCACGCCCATTGCTGCTGTTCTTCTCCCAGGTTTGCCCACTCTTTGTTTTCGTCTCTTTTCGTGTCTCAGAACTCTTCGGGACTTTATGCATTTATTTTTCCATCTCTTCCGGTCTGCGTGGAACTGGTGCAGGGTGGAAAGAAAATATATCGGGCAAGAAAGAGAGTACGCTGAGCCATTTGTAACAGGAAAAGCGGGGGCTGCCTTCAGGGAAAATGAGACTGGGAACCCCAGACAGTCAGAGCCATAAGGGGTCTAAGCTCAGACCACCCCTGTGTCTCAGAAATAAGGAGACCCAGGGCCAACGGCTGAGGGCGTCCAGGAGCCCTCCCCACTCTAGGAAGCCCTCTGTGTGATGACACAGGGACATGCACGTCTGAAAGCCATCAAGGGTCTAAAACCTCAGTGAAAGGTATTTCTCTCTCTCTCTCTCTCTCTCTCTCTCTCTCTCTCTCTCTCTCTCACACACACACACACACACACACACACACACACACAATATGACCGCCATTGCCTGGCTCTGGCCCCAGCTCTGAGGAGGGCACCAAAATTAAATCCCGCATGTTCCAGCTGTCTCCTCCTCCCCTACACAAACCCCGTCCCCACAGCGCCTGACATCTGGCAGCTGATGCAAGAGCAAACCCCTGGTGGGCACCGTGCGCCCGCGGCGAGAGCTGCCTGCGGCGAGAGCTGCCTGCCGCAGCCACAGCTGGCGTCTGACCCTATCACGGCGTGCGCGGTTTGAAAAGACTAAATTAAATCTCTGAGGGCAGAACGCCAGGCACCATGGAAGGTGGGGTGAGGAGAGAAATTCCAAAGTCCCTCCTCTCAGACCGTGCCAGTGACTTCTCTCCTCCTTCCAGGGCCCCCACAGCAGGGCAGGGATGGCGCTGGGAACCGGCCAGGCCCAGGGAACAGGGCAGGGGTCATGCCCGGCTGCTGGGACCCACTCATTTTCCTTTGTCTCTCATGACACCAGCTCTACAGGAGGGGCCGGCCCAGCGCCCAACCTGTCAACCTGGAAATCTGTCCAGGGGAAGGGCAGAGGTGGCCAAGTCCTCGCCCAGAGAGCTCAGCAGTGAGCATCTCTAGGTGTCTCCCTGCCTGCGCTGCCCCTCAAGGATGTGTTTGTCTTTGACAAGGCTCTGTCCCCATCTTTTCATTCACAGTTCTTTGAAACATCATTGCTACTTTCTGTTCTCCTCCCTGGTGGAAGCCTGGGCCCCGTTCCTCTCCGACCGTGCCTGTCTCTCAGGCTGGGCCTATCCTAGACTAACGTCTTCGCCCCAGATGCAAGCTCCCCAGGGAATGTTGGTGCCCACCTCCACTCCTGGTGGGCACTTGGTTTACTCCTTTACTTCCACTTCTAGTCCAGGCCTTTCTTAAATCCATTGCTCCCCCCTCCTCCAAATCTAAGCCTGAGAATTCTACCACTAGGGGACAGAGGGAGTAGGGGTTCCAGAGGATAAAGACAGAGACTATAATGCTGATGAAATCTGATCCTGGTGCCTGAAGGGTTATTACTCATCCTGAGCTTCCAGGGCCCCAACCTTGAGAACTCCCAGTCTGAATTCCCCAGTGCCGGGGGAGCTTGGAAAGCTGCCCAGTGCCTAGCACCAGCTGCAGCATAAAGACAGGGCCTGCTTCCTGAGCTGACAAAGTGCACAGGGAGTACAATAACCACGGCATTTAAAAGTGAATAGCTAACTATAAACCAGGGTGGGAGCAGGCTGGGAAAGGCCAAATGGCTGCTGTCCAAAGAGGAGCATCATGAAGGTGACCAGCTGCGCAGGGGGGTGGCAGGAGGAGAGGGCTGGACGGCTACTTCCCACCACGCCTCCTGGTGAATCTCACGTTGATGCATTGTGTCCTTTCCATTCTTCTACTCCTTTTTTTCTTTTTTCTTTTGTTTTCCACAGTTCAGTCATATTTCCTCTCCAAACCACAGTGTTTCAGGGTTTTTTTGTTTTTGGCATTGCATCTTTCCAGATGGACTTCTCAGGTGGCCTCATCAGCTTGTCCGGGTTGGCTGGCCCCACATCTCAGCCCTCCCTGGAGCTGCAGCCGCCCTCACGCTTCTGTGCCCTCAGTTCCAAAGCAAAAAAGGCTCGGATTCGGTATTTTGAAATGATGAAAATGCAAGGAATTCTTTTTTTAGAAGTTCACAATTACCCAAATCCCTAACTGCGTTTCCTTCTATGATCTTCTTTGATTTGTGATGTGGCCTTTGCAAGTCACTAAGTGTGTTCACTGGGACGTGGGTGGCATCCTACTGGGCAGTGAGCATGTGTGTGGTTAGGTGGGATTTACTTTCCCAGTGAGGGAAGGGGTGCCTTTAGGACAAGCCTGTGCTCTTGAGAACGACCCCTGCAGCCTTCCCTGACCTGGCCTCTGTCCCCTTCTGCCAGCTTCTCTCCCCCCTCCACCTTCCTCTCTCTGCTCTAGCTGTGTGAACTGTGGCAGTTTCTTTTTTTTTTTTGAGACAGAGTCTCGCTTTGTTGTCCAGGCTGGAGTGAGTGCCATGGCGTCAGCCTAGCTCACAGCAACCTCAAACTCCTGGGCTCAAGCAATCCTGTTGCCTCAGCCTCCCAAGTAGCTGGGACTACAGGCATGTGCCACCATGCCCGGCTAATTTTTTCTATATATATTAGTTGGCCAATTAATTTCTTTCTATTTATAGTAGAGACGGGGTCTCGCTCTTGCTCAGGCTGGTTTTGAACTCCTGACCTGGAGCAATCCACCCGCCTCAGCCTCCCAGAGTGCTAGGATTACAGGCGTGAGCCACCGCGCCCGGCTAACTGTGGCAGTTTCTGAAGGTGACGTGCTCAGCCTTCATCACCTCACTGCTGCAGAGCTGGCTCCTGTTGCCTGGAATGTGCTTACCTCTTGCTCTGAGTCTTGGCACTCAGAACTCATCATCCTTCAGTTTCCAGAACTTACTGCCTCCCCTTGCCTTTGCAACACGGTCCTGTACAGTCTGCTTACTCCTCCGTTCTCCCCACTGCACTGAGAACATTTCAGCACAGGTCTGCATCTTTAATCTGTTTCCTGCCACACAGTAGCGTGCCTGGCACACAGCAGGGTGCGTGGAAAGCAGGCCAAATCCCGGGGAACTAGTGCGCGGCAGAGCAGCCTCACCAACCCCGTCTAGCCGCTCCCACCGGAGCCGGTCCTCAATCCCAGGCAATCACCGGCTCTACAGCCCCTAGGGAGTCCAAGACTGACTGTCGTGCAAACCCTTCAGCAGAAGTAGCCAAGGCGGGTACCTGAGCTTGTCTGCAATGAAGATGACCCTCCTTTCCAGAAGCAGGGACGCAAAAACACAGATCAGGTGGCGGACGCTGAGAGAGGAGAAGAGAGACTCAAAGTCCACGTGTTCGAGCCGGGAGTCCAGCGGGCGGCACAGTTCAATCACCTGCCAGGGAACAGGGGCAGCTGTGAGGGAGGGGCCTGGCCAGGGTCTCTGAGATCCTCAGCAGGGGTGACCCACTGGCAGGGGAAAAGGGAAGGAAAAAGGGAAAACATAGGAATTGGGGAAAACAAAGATCCCAAGAGACTGGGGAAGGGAAGCAAGTGTCTCGCAGTTAGCTACCACACTGAGGACAGTTCCGACGGAGGTGAGGAGAGAGGACGGCAGAACAGTGGCCCTTGGCCCAGAATGGCCAAGAGGCTGTCCCTGGCAACAGCATATCTGGACCCCTCGTGAAGAGTTCTACGACTGATGAAAACAGTCCTGTCCCTTCAAGTCCCAGTGGCAGCATCTGTGTCTCATGAGGGACTATGACGTGCTGAAGCGAAATCACAGGCTCGTGCAGAAGGGCCAGCAGACCTGAGCAGCACTTCTGAGACTCACCCCACTGGGAAGGCATTTCTTAGTGAACCCCACCCCCACTCCAGCCGCTTTCCTAGATACTGTGTCTTTTCAGCTCTGATGCTCCCTGTGTGTACCTTCTTACACTGTACATGCAGAGATGTTCCTGAATTCCTCTCGCGCTGGTACTTCTGTGCACGTTTTTCTCTTTAAACAGCTGCCTCCTTCACAGTGAGCTAAATTCAGTCTCAGTGCAGCACCTGCACCATGCTGTCCCCACAGGGTCTTCCTCACCGCTAAGCTCCCCGCTACGCCCCCTGGCCAAGCCATCTGCGTCTGGCATGGCACAGCTTTGGGTTCCTTGGCAACAGGGAGACCGTTGCTCTCAGTGCTGGGACACTGTGTTGTTCCAGAGTGTCCCAGACCCATCCTCATCCCCCCTCTGTCTCCAGAGGAGCCCTCGCTTGCTCAGGGCCTCCAGAACCGGGGACTCAGGGCTGAATGGATCTGTCTTATGAAGTCCACTCTGCCGTGTAAAGGGAGAAGGAAGGATAACAACAAACTCCTTCAGTGAACCCCAACCCAGACAAGGGCGGGACATGCTTCAAAGTCTAAGATGAATGAAAAGCAGTACCTGAGCTCGTTGTCCCTGAGAAGAACCTGTTTTACATTATAAAGTTATAGAGGTGATACAGACCAAAATGTAAATAGGTTCAAGTAAAATTTGTGAATGACAATGGGCTACCAAGAGAAGCTAAGGATGTGCAGTGAATGTCCCTAACCTGAGGCTAATATCAGGCAAAGAAACACCTGCACGGCCGCAGCACGGTTCTTGGGCCTGCTCTCTGGGGCAGAAGCCTGGGCTGGCTGGACTGGGCTGAGGGTGGGACTTAGGATGAGTGATCTGGGACAACCAAGGAGTGGCCAGAAGCCATCACTGAATTACACAGCACTGAAAGCCAGCCCCTGCCTGGGGACTTGGCTGTCTAGGCCATCCCTCCTGAGGAGGCAGAAGGAATCTGGCAGCTTACCTCAGTTCCTGAACCCGGCAAGAAGTTCTTGACAAGGATGGTTTTGCCCAGGGCTGGGAAAGGGGCTTCCATGACACTCCTCATGAGGGGCTGCACCAGGGCAGGAGAGATGCCTCGTCTTTTTTCTACCTCATCCAAGATCTGCAAGGGTCAGAAAGGCAGCTCAGCTATCCTGAAGTCAGGGCACAAGGCATAGCTCAGTTCTAGAGGAAGTGGGCCTGCCAGGGATTCAAGAATTACAGCGAAGCCCTGCAGTCCTCCTCAGGCCAAAGCTTACATTACAGGCTCTCTGGCCTTATACATTATTGACCTCAACTCTTCTCCTCTTTGTGTGGCCACTCCTTTTGCCACGTGACTTTGCAGTTCCCTCCACTAAAGGGTAAAGTATAGTTCCTCAGGTCTTTGACTTTGGGTTTGGTCCTGTGACTTAACTGGGCTAAGACATGCATTGTCATTGGGAGCAATATGGCCCCAAAGGGGTGAAAAGACCTAGATATTATAATGGTTTGCAGTCCTCTAATGGGCTGTGGTACCTAAACAGATATATGTTTATCTGTGGAATTAAAATTTCACTGGGGTAGGGGAGGGTAGCCTTCAGGAAAATGAAAATCAAAACTGAGATACCACTTCACACCCCTTACAATGACTCTAATACAAAGACAAAACAGCAAGTGTTGGCAAAGAAGTGAGGACACTGGAACTCTCATACACTGCAGGTAGGAATGTAGATTTTTGTTTAGAAATGCTTTAAGGCAGTGCATCTGATCCAGCAACACCATTACCAGGCAACTACCCAAAGGAAAAAAGACATTTGCACTATCATGTTTATAACACCACAATTCACAACTGCAAAGATGGGGAAACAACCCAAGTGACCATTAATACACGAATGGATTACTAAAATATGGTATATGTATACCATAGAGTTCTACTCAGCTACAAAAAACAATGGTGATCTAGCACCTCTTGTATTATCTTGGACAGTGCTGGAGCCCATTCTACTAAGGGAAAGTACCACAAGAATGGAAAAACAAGCACCACATGTACTAATCATCAGATTGGTATTAACTGATCAACACATATGTGCACATTTAGTGATAACATTCATGGGGTGTTGGGCAGGCAGGAGGAGGGAGGAGGGGATGGGTATATTCACACCTAATGGGTGTGGTGAATCTGGGGGATGGACACGCCTGAAGCTCTGACTGGGGTGGGGCAAAGGCAACATATGTAACCTAAACATTTATACCCCCATAATATGCTGAAATAAATAAATAACAACAAATAAATAAAGTGACTATTCATTTGTATGGAGAAAAAAAGAAAGGAAGTGCATCCACAGACAGTAGGTGTAGGGACTTTAGTTCTCCACGAGAAAGATCAGACTGAAATATATACTGTACAAGGATTTAAAATAAACTTATGAATTACTCAGATCTGATAAATACAGGAAATGAACATTGGATTATATCTACTTTTGAAATCAGCATCATATAGGATATGATTCTGGATATGTACCAATCCAGAATGCTGGGGTGGATGGCAATTTGTATGTCTTGACATATTGGCTCATTTTCCAAAAAAGAGAATCCAATTATATTCATATTTTGATAAACTCAGAACATTATTAAAATAATACATTTCACACACACAACAGATATACATACACATCAGATATACACACAGATACACACATATACATCCATCATAGTGGCTTTTTTCGAGCAAAAGCTTATATGACAAAAGACAATGTTTAGAAGAAGGAAAGTGAAACACCTGGAACGTTCTAAGAGGATCCTCCACCCCACCCTCCCTCCCTCAACTACAATGATCTGCCCCCATATCCCCCTCACACTCACTTTCTAGGCCCAGCCCTTCATCAGCTCTTATTTCCTGAACCAATGATGAGAGAACAGAGGAAGAGGTGAGGAGAGGAGTGAAGAAACGGGAAGGAAGACAGGTAGAAGGCAGGCCTGGTGGCACGTGACTGTAGTCCAGCTACTCGGGAGGCTGAGGCAGGAGGATCGCTTGAGCCCAGGAGTTGGAGGCTGCAGTGGGCTAGGATCATGCCACTGCACTCCAGCCTGGCCTACGGAGCGAGACCTCACCTCTAAAACAAACAAACAAACAAACAAAAATAGGTAGAGAATAAGACTCTAAAAGTCCTGGAAGACTGGAGGTATTCCCTGGGCCCTCCTCTCTTTCCCTCCCTCCTTTCTCTGAGGTCCAGGTTCTCACCTTTGAGAAGAGGCTGAAGCATCCCAGGCGGCTCACAATGCAGTAAACTTCAGGAAGACGCTTCCCTTTGCCTCCAGGCTTTTTGGAGAGAAACAGAAGGAAATTATGAGTGTGTTACAACCTTAAGGAAGGAAAGAACCCAAATGTTTCTGAGAGCCTGTCATGTACCAGATGTTTCCACATATTGTAGCTTTTGAAAACTTGAGGGGGGAAGTAGTCATCAATAATTCCTTTTATGGCTGGGAGGCATTGCAGGTCATGTGGTATATCAGTTTTTATTCTCCCGAGGGGCCCAAATCAAGGGTATTGTACACAGTAGGTGCTCAATTTGGCCTATAGAACTATAAAGTAAGGAGGATTAACTTGTTTCCCCAAATCACCGTAGTTCCTCCAAAGGAGTTACTTTGAGACTATATGCTTATTATACTGGTAATTCCAAAACATGAAATCATTTCCAAAGATCTTTCTGAAAGCTGACTTTTAAGCTGATTTTCAAACCAAAAGGAAAATCAGTCTCATTACTTTAATTCTAAAGTAATCTGATCAACAAATACTAACCCATTTAACTTTTTCAATAATCCATGTTTTTTGTTTATTAATTCAGCAAATATTTCTTGAACACCTACTATGTGTCATGCATTATACTGGACTCCAAAGTTTTTCAATTTATTTCTGAGACCCGACTATACTCTCAGAGGGAAAAGATCCACTAAAAGAATGGGCCTCAAAATGATAAGTCCTAAAATGTTTTCATATGATCATTTCATTGGAATAAGTTTCTGACTTTTAAAGGGGACAGCTTTGAAAGGGACATTCTTGAATTATTTGAGTCTTTTCTCCTTAGCAACCAGTCTGGATATTTTCTCTAAGTGATAGGGATCTGTTTAGCATGTTTTTTTTTTTTTTGAGACAGAGTCTCGCTTTGTTGTTCAGGCTAGAGAGTGAGTGCTGTGGCGTCAGCCTAGCTCACAGCAACCTCAAACTCCTGGGCTCGAGCGATCCTTCTGCCTCAGCCTCCCGAGTAGCTGGGACTACAGGCATGAGCCACCATGCCCGGCTAATTTTTTATATATATATCAGTTGGCCAATTAATTTCTTTCTATTTATAGTAGAGACGGGGTCTCGCTCTTGCTCAGGCTGGGTTTGAACTCCTGACCTTGAGCAATCTGCCCGCCTCGGCCTCCCAAGACCTAGGATTACAGGCGTGAGCCACTGAGCCCAGCCTTAGCATGTTTTATTAGAAAGAATATTTGGCTTAAGGAAAGAAAGGTCCTTCCTTTCTTTAATAAAATTTGGCAGAAAAAACAATGGAGAAAATATTTCTTTTTGACAGAAACAGACATTATTCCCACCTACTGGTAAGACTCAGGTAAGCCCCCAAATCTTTCTCCATGTCTCTAACTGCACTGATTAACCTGCCCCTGCTCCTGTTCCTCCTCCCGTGCCACATGGTGGAATCTCAATCACAAAGGACCAGGAAGGCCGACCTGGCTGTGTTCGGGGCTCTTGCCCGCTGGCAAGCAGGATGTACTCACCAGCAGTCTTCGGCAATAACCGAACCTTCTGCTCCCGTCTTCTCCGGTCAAGACAAATGAGAATGTTTCACTGGTTGGGAAAACAAAAAGGCATTACAAAGCAAAACAAAAGCTACATCGCCACTCGTGCAGTGAGGTGTAGCGAGCAACCAGGGGACACGCCGGAGGAGGCTGTCCAAAGGGCTGTCCTGCTTGTCCACCTCTGTGCTGAGACACAACGCTTGTCACCTATAGCTTCAGAGTAAATGTCAGGGAGGCAGAGACCTAAACTGTCACTGTGTCCTGAGAGGAAACGAGGTACTCTTTTTCCACACTGAGCTCTCACATACTTCTGTCACCCAAGCCATCCCCATGTACAAAACACAACTGTCACTCACTCTTGTGGCTGAAGAGATGGAAGAGGGCTGGTGTCACCCTCAGTGAGCACGGGTGTGAGTGTGAGCGTGAGGTGGCACCTGCTGATATGGGGTGTGACTCTGTGAGGTGCAGCTGAAGAGTGGGCAGTTCTGTGGAACTGTGTCTGGTGCAGCTCTCTTGGGGACGTTTGTCCAGAGTAACTTTGAGGTCTGGATGGTCCTTAAAGACTGCTGGGCCAACCTCAGGGAACACCGTGTCCCTCACACACTTGGGATACACAGCCTACTGAGTTTGCTCAAATGCTGAAACATCTGATAATAAAAAGACTGGTATCTAACAACGTTGGCTGAAGCAAAAAAGTAAACGTATCCCAATCCAAGTAGCAGCTAGATAGGCTACTAAAGGGAAGTTTCAGGAGCACTGGGTGAGGATGGGTGACAAGCAACGTTTCCCTGACTTTGCTCAGGCCAAGAATTACCTTCATGGAGGCTCATGAGACAAACACATCCCCAGGCTGAGTGGGAGGCCTGAGAAATCTGCATGCTTAGCAAGGTGATTCACATTTTCAGGGAACCTTTAAAGCACCACCGGGGGAAATCTCCAGGCCAGGGCCCATTAGGACTGCTTAACAGGAGGCCTGACTCATGGCATCTGCTGTGTCTGACCCCGTCTCGAAGTCCCACTCTAGTCTCTGGGGGTGGGAAGGGGAGATGCCAGCTCATACCTGGTAAACTGCTGGACAGGAGTCCAATCCTTGGCATCGGGGAAACAGAACTGGGGAATAGCCTTTAGCTGGTCCTCAGCCTCTCTCAGGAACTTGAAAGACCTTTCCAACTGCAGGGAAAAAGTGAGAGAAGGTTCGAGAATAAACTCTGGCATGGGAGAGTGAAGCAGATGATGGCAAGGACCACATCTCCCACCTTTCTGCAGCTGTGACTGCCACCTCACCCTCCTCCCTTGGGAAGGTTTGCAGCTCAGTCTGCTGGGGCCTCTTCCCTCAGGGCACTTCCAACTATAGTCTTATGGGAAAAGTTAGGAGAAAAAAACAGTATGCTCTAGAGAAAGGTCCTCTGTGTTCAGCATTCTGGAATATAAGTGTTGTAACCAATAAGGAAACACTGCCCTTGCAATCCCTTCCAAATGGGAGGCTCCCAAATCTATAAGGCAGAGCCTCCAATCAGGTTTCCAATCTCTGCGCCCAGGCAAAGCTGCCCCTTCTCAATCCAGGCAGAGAATGTCAGAACACTCGGCATGAATACATACAGCAAGATTATATCATTCTGTGAAATTCAACTAATTTTGGAGAGTCACTAAGTGATGGAACCAGAAGGAAGCGAGACACCATCTAGTCTGACATTCTTATTTCAGAGATAAGGAAATAAGCTCTGAAATATTAAGTGATTTCTCCAGTGTTACAGCTAGAAATAAAAAATGATCTTAATCTTTCTCTCTCTCTCTCTCTCTTTTTTTTTGTGACAGACAGAGTCTCACTCTGTTGTCTGGGCTAGAATGCCATGCCATCAGCCTAGCTCACAGCAACCTCAAATTCCTGGCCTCAAGCAATCCTCCTGCCTCAGCCTTCCCAGGAGTTGGGACTACAGGTGTATGCCACCATGCCCAGCTAATCTTTTCCATTTTTAGTAGAAATAGGGTCTCACTCTCGCTCAGGCTGGTCTTAAACTCCTTTTCAAAAAAAATTTTTTTTCTTTTTCTTCTTTACTCTTAAAATATTTAATTTACTTCTTCTTTTTTTCCTAAATGTAAGAACATGTTCTGTAATAGGTCTTAAACTCCCGAGCTCAAGCAATCCTCCTGCCTTGGCCTCTCAGAGTGCTAGGATTATAGGCATGAGCCACCACACCTGGACTCTCTTTGTCTGTTATTATATCCCATCCTGGATAGTATCTGACATATCATAAACTGGATGAATATTATCTTGTTAAAGAACAGGATGAATTAATAAAATCTGATTTAGAGGTTGTATTTAAAGTCATAAGTTTGCTTATTTTGTATATGAACAGAAATCTGTGCTTTTATTTATTTATTTAGTTTAGAGAGACAGGGTCTCTGTTGCCCAGACTGCAGTGCAGTGATATGATCATAGTTCACTGCAACCTCTAACTCCTGGCCTTAAGTGATCCTCCTGCCACAGTCTCTAGAATAGCTGAGTGTATAAGCATGTGCCATCACACCGGCTAATTTTTCTTTTTGTGGAAACAAGGTCTTGCTATGTTGCCTAGGCTGATCTGGAACTCTTGGCCTCAATCAATAATCCCACCTCAGCTTCCCAAATGCTTGGATTATAGGTATAAACCACTACAGCTGGCTTAATTGTTCTTCTTTAGAATAGTCACTCTTTCTTTTCTATATTACAGTTCTCTCTTCTGTTCATGACAATTGGTCCAGGAACAAACAGTCTTTGAACTGATAATTAAAAGCTCAGACCGTTCCCAAAGCAATAGTTTTTGACTACTCTTGGGTAGTCTTGCAGAGAAGCAAACACTACCTGGGTGTAATTAGAGGAAGAGGTCATTAATCACCACAGGGTGAAGGATCACAAATTATAAGGAACACAAAAGGAAGAACAAGGACATTTCCCCATAGGGGAGACAGCATTCAGGACTGAAGGGCAGATACTGGAGAAGTGAGTTCCAGCCCTTTTCAACACAGCCCAGTCACCACTTGCATGTACCCACCCCCAGATCACAAGTATGACATACACGAGTGTAGGTACATGTGCCTACACACACTGTCACATGTGAGCTATCAGTGCATATGCACACAGGTTCATGTATGTGCAGGCGCACAGTTATAGGAAGCTGCACATAGAAATCTCCCACAAATAAAACCAACACACATGGCTGGAAAATAGCTTAGTCTCCTTGAATTGTCATGCAGATAAATGTGTGATACCAAACATTTTAATGGAACATTAGCATGAAGATATGGGCTGTAAACCTTGATTAAGGTGACTATATAGGAGTGAGGGATAAAACTCATGAGAAAAAGTTTAAAAAGAGGAGAGAAGAGAGAAGAAAAGGTCCTTCTGATAGAGGGAGTGAAGGCAAGGAGATATAAAATAAGTCAGGTGTGGTGGCATGCACCTGAAGTCCCAGCTACTCAGGAGGGTAAAGTGGGATCACTTGAGCCCAGGAATTGAAGCTGCAGTGAGGTATGATCACATCACTGCACCTGAGTCTGGGCTACGGCGCAAGATCCTATCTCTTAAAAAGAAAAAAAAAAGGCCGGGCATGGTGGCTCACGCCTGTAATCCTAGCACTCTGGGAGGCCGAGGTGGGTGGATCGCGTGAGCTCAGGAGTTCAAGAGTCAGCCTGAGCAAGAATGAGACCCCGTTTTTACTAAAAATATAAAGAAATTAGCTGGACAACTAAAAATATATAGAAAAAATTAGCTGGGCATGGTGGTGTGTGCCTGTAGTCCCAGCTACTCGGGAGGCTGAGGCAGGAGGATCGCTTGAGCCCAGGAGTTTGAGGTTGTTGTGAGCTAGGCTGATGCCATGGCACGCTAGCCCAGGTAACAGAGTGAGACTCTGTCTTGGAAAAAAATAAAAGAAAAAAAGATATAAAATAGCCTGACATGCAAACATGTATGTATAAGGATGATCACCATTTCATTAAAAAGGAAAAAAGAATATATAATGAAACACTGGCAGCAAGATACATTCCCAACAGAAGGGGGTTGGTTAAATAGATAGATTAGGAAATACCCACATGTTGGAGCATCATGTAACTTGAAAAATGTTGTTTTAGAATTTTTATTATTTTTATAAATAATGGTAGGTTTACAGAACAGTAAATGAAACATGAGACAAAAATCATACAATGTATGATCCCAGTTTTGTAAGAAAATTATACTGTGAGAAAAGACTGCAAGAAAACAAAACAAAATGTTGACAGTGATGATCTCTGTAGTGAGATTATAGGTGATTTTTTCCTCATACATTTCTGGATTAGTCTCCTTTTTGACAGTGACCATGCAATTTTCCACCTAAAAAATCGATTTAATGTGAGTGTCTAAGGGTCTAGGCTGGAAACTATAAACATTCAATAGCAATTAACTCATGAGCTAACGCCTTTAATCCTGGAACACTGATTTCTTTTCTTTTTTTTTTTTTTTTGAGACAGAGTCTCGCTTGTTGACCAGGCTAGAGTGAGTGCCGTGGCGTCAGCCTAGCTCACAGCAACCTCAAACTCCTCCTCAGCCTTCCGAGTAGCTGGGACTACAGGCATGTGCCACCATGCCCGGCTAATTTTTTTTTTTTTTTTACACTAGTGATTTGGCCTGGAGAATTTTATATATATATTAGTTGGCCAATTAATTTCTTTCTCTTTATAGTAGAGACGGGGTTTTGCTCAGGCTGGTTTCGAACTCCTGACCTCGAGCAATCCGCCTGCCTCAGACTCCCAGAGTGCTAGGATTACAGGCGTGAGCCACTGCGCTCGGCTTTTTTTTTTTTTTTTTTGAGACAGAGTCTCACTCCGTTGCCCGGGCTGGAGTGCCGTGGCGCCAGCCTAGCTCACAGCAACCTCAAAGTCCTGGGCTCAAACAATCCTTCTGCCTCAGCCTCCTGAGTAGCTGGGACTACAGGCCTGTGCCACCATGCCCGGCTAATTTTTTCTATATGATTGATTGACTGATTGATTGAGACAGAATCTTTGTTGCCCAGGCTAGAGTGAGTGCCATGGCGTCAGCCTAGCTCACAGCAACTTCAAACTCCTGGGCTCAAGCAATCCTACTGCCTCAGCCTCCTGACTAGCTGGGACTACAGGCATGTGCCACCATGCCCGGCTAATTTTTTCTATATATATTAGTTGGCCAAATAATTTCTTTCTATTTATAGTAGAGATGGGGTCTTGCTCTTGCTTAGGCTGGTTTCAAACTCCTGACCTTGAGCTATCCGGTGCCTCAGCCTCCCAGAGTGCTAGGATTACAAGCATGGTCAACTAATTAAGTATTGCCAAGTGAACAGTACTCTGCTAGGCCCCAGAGGCAATGAACAGGACAACAGGACAGTCCTTCATGCCTTGGGCCTCTCTGTGTGGTTCTTCCTGGGTTGTGAGTCAGTACGAGCATAGCCATCGGCCTCTATTATCCGTGAGGCAGTCACCCCACATCTGGGCATACCCATGGCAGTGGGGTTTTCAAGGGATCATTCCTTAGAGGTAGGGCAGCTACAGAAAGGTGAGTGCCAGTTTGGAGGGCTAGTGCCTACGGTTTACTTCAATCTAAATGATTGCTGTCCTAAACTCCAAGGACAGGACTTTGTTGCGATGGACCACAGTGGGCAGGATGGAAGGCTGGCTGGGAAAGAAGGGGAGGCAGGGGGACAGCCAGGATCTGGGCCTTGGTAGATGCTGGGATTATGCTGGGGTGGCAGCAGCAAAAGGAGGCCCTGAGTGGACCTGGACATAAGGCCCCGCTCACCTTTCTTCCCTCTTCTGAGGCACTGGGTTTGTGTGGAGGTCACCAAATTCTACCTTATGAGTCTCTGCATTTTTTTTTTTTTTTGCTATACTTAATCTCAGGAAACAGATTTTGTTCATCCTTGTAATTCCCTGGGGCCAAGGGGAAAATCGTTTGACTGTAATATATTCTTAGTAAATTCTGGTTGAACTGAATTAGAATATGGTGGAAACTCTCTAATACTGATGTCAAAGCCTAAAACTAATTTATATATTATTGGCCGTGTCATTTTAGGCTTTATTAAGTGCCATTTTACTTTAGGTGCATAATTTAACATATCCACATAACGATGAACCATCACCTAACAGGACCCTCCTGCACACACACACACACACACAGCACACAGGCAGGTGTTTAGCGCGGACACATATGTGATGCTACTCAGGGAGAGTTGTGAGGCTTGAGGGGAAAGAGGCTTCTAGGACAAGCTGGGAAGAGATGTGACTCGCCGGATAAGGAGACATGGGGAAGACAAAGAGGATGGTGTGGTTAGCACAGTGACCACAGGAAGTGAGAAAAGATATCTGCCCCCACACTTTGAGTCCCTGACTCTCTCCTCCCTGAGACCTCCCAAACGCTCCAGCAGCAGCAGTTGTTTCATTTGAAATACCCTAATTAGGACCTGTTTTCAACCTTCTAGACCCTAGGTGTTCCTCAGACTCTCCCACCTGCCGGAACCCATGAGTCCCAGCAAGGTTAGGGCTAGAATACTGCAGGAGCCTGTACCTTCAGCGGGAACTGCTGGGTGAGTTCCGGCACGTAGGCAGCCCCGGCCTGCTTCTTGTGCAAAGACACGACCACAAAGTACTCGAAGAGCTGCCTCTCCTGGTACTCGATGAGTTCACGGTCAAGGGACAGGTACCGAGGCGCCTGCTTCAGGCGGGACTTCACATTGACCAGGCGCTGGCTGTGAGCTGGAGAGAGAGAGAGAGAGAGAGAGAGAGAGAGAGACCAAGAGGCTGCAATGACTCACTGGCCAACGTGGAACTGCACACAGAGTTGCAACAGGTTACATAATGCCCAGCTCAAGTACTTTTTTCTAAACCCAAAACATGTTCCTACATCTAACAAATCAGTAGAAAACTCTTTATTATTTGGAATTCTTGCCAAATTTCTGGGAGGAGTAACATTTGATAGGCTTGCGGGCCATCAGGGTTCAGGAAGCTGGCACTGTGGGGACTCTGCTTGGCCATGGTCTTGCTGTTGGGCCTCTGGGCAGAGGCTCAAGGAGCCATTGACTCCATCTGCCCGATGGGGGGGGGGGGCACTGGCTCCTCCCCTTACTAAGTTCCCTCATCGTTCAATTTGTGTCATGTGACAGAATCCAGGGCATGCAGCTTTTGGAGCTAGGAGCTTTGCAGACATTCCATGTGACTCACTCAAGGACTCTGCCCACGCCCTCTCCTGCCATGAACTCTGTAATGGACATGGATGCACTTCGTTCTCGAGGTGGGCCAGGGAACAGCTGGGTGTAAGGGGTGAGCATGGCAGGGTCACTGAGCAAATAGGCTCCTGTCGCCTCACTCAGCTACTCAGGACTTGCTATCTTTGGCTTCTCTCTCGGGTCTGAGAATTCTCGGAAAACTCACTAACACCTAGACCTAGATCAATGATTTTAGACCCACAGGGACCAATTATTTCAACAACTTCATCCGAACAGATAAGGAACTAGAGGTCCTGGATCTTAAGTGATTTCCTCCAAATTGGGGCATGAACCCCTGGTGTCTGGAGGCCTGGGCATGTAGCATCGTGCCTCAGGAGTAGGGGCTGCTACAGTTATTACAGCCACCCTGGCTCTCTGGAACTGAGTGGGGGGCGTAGTGACTACACAGTTTCAGTCTGGTCATGCTCATGACCTGCCCCTGACCACCCTGTGGGCCCCCCCATCCTCTCAGACATCCACGCCTTGCCCAGCAAACTAGGGCAGGATGCTAAGTAGGGGCCATCTTTGTAGCTTTCAAGTCACCTGCCTGCGCCCGGCACAGCAACGGGTCTCCTCACCTTTCAGCTTCTCCTCCGTGTCACTGTCAGACTCACTGTTCTCATCTGTCACTAGATGAAAACAAGGAAGAAAGTTGCAAATGTGAGTTCTTCTGATGCAAGAAACGATTTCTATGTGATAGCACAAATCCAAAATTTCTAGTTCAGAAGGGATGTTTTGTTGTCTATTTCAATGTAATAGACAAATTATGACTGTCCAACTTGATGTATTTCCAAACTGATTTGGCTCTAGCTAAGATGGTACCTACACCAAATAATACAGCAAAAGATCCTGTCCAGAAAGGAGGGAGGGAGGGAGGAAGGGAAAGAAGGGAAGGAAGGGAGAAAGGGAGGAAGGGAGGGAAGGGAGGAAGGGAGGGGAGGAAGGGACGAAGGGAGGGGAGGAATGGAGGGGAGGAAGGGAGAGAGGAAGGAATGGAGGAAGGGAAGGAAGGGAGGGAGGTAGGGAGAGAGGGAAGGAAGGGAGGGAGGGAGAAAGGAAAGGAAGGGAGGGAAGGAAGGGAAGGAGAAAGGAACGGAAGGAAGGGAAGGAAGGGAGGAGGGAAGGTTGGAAGGAAGGGAAGGAAGGGAGGAAGGAAGGAAGGATTTAGCTGAGGAAACTAGCCAGGAGAGACATTGCTGGCCTTGCTCAATCTATGGAGCCAGTAATGCAGAGATGAGAAACATCTAAGTAAAGATACAAGTGTTCACGGCTGCAGGGTTTTTGTTTTTTTCACCTTTTAGTTAAACTAAAAAAAAAAAAATAAACAAAAATAAAAAAACAAACAAAAAACAAAAACAAGAACAAAAAGATCCTGTCCCCTCTGATGTGTGCTACGCAAGGAGGCCTGCTCCACAGCCACATGGGATGGAGGACAAGGAAAGGGAGGCAGAGGATCCGCACCCCGGGTGTAGCTCCTGCCCTTCCACTGGCCCGGGACAGTGAGAGACATTTACAAAGCACCAACTTGGTCTCCTCCTTGGTGAGCCAAGCGGAAATCACAAAAAGCAAATTCTAGGGAGAATCTCTTTTCAGATTCTTAGGGGAGGAGGGATGGCGGCATTGGGGTTCTACCTTTTCCTGAGTTGCTCTCCGTGGACTGGGACAGCCTCTTCACCCGTTTCTTTCCTCTCCGGGCCTCATAAATGGCATTGATTCGCAACACCAGCTGCCAGACACCAGGAGAACAGCCAGCGTTAGCAGCCCCCTCCCCACGCGCAGCTGGGCTTCCCTGGCTGCCCATTCCCTCCTGGGACGACAGAGGGCCGGGGGCCGGGGAGCGGGGGACACCTGCCACTGGCTCATGGCGGTCTTTCAGTCATTCCTTTCTGCCACAGAGGAACGTGAATGTCAAGAAAACCAAGGGAGGCTGCTGGCCTCACTGCCCTAGGGGACGTTGTCTAAATACGCCAAGCATCCGGCTGAGACATGGGAGGCGACTCCATCAGCTCATGACGTGATGGCTGCTTTCCCTCTGACACTGCGATGTCACTGTAGCTTGGGAAGGAGCTTTTGCTCCCAAAACAAAACGAGAAAAAGGAAGAGACAGGAAAAAAAAGTTCCCAGACAGGACCCCATTCGTGGGAACAGTTCCAAAGAATGTTGGAACAGCCCCGAGAGGGATGGGAACAGGGATCAGAGCAGCTCCCGAGCCCTAGCTGGGGACTGCAGGGACTGGTGTCACGCAGAGAGCACGCTGCCCTGTGTGCAGAGGGACGCGCGCTCCACACGTCTCGGACCCTCCACGTACGCACCGGGCACGCATGTGCTGCGCAAGCGCACAAACAGGCCGTGGCGAGCGACACACCCCAGGCCTCCCCCGCCACGACAGCCGGAGCCCCGGCTCCCTGCCCCTCCCGGTCTTCCGGGGCATCTCGCGCTCTGCTGCGCACGTGAAAGCAGACTTGCTTCAAAGGAAAATGTTTTTCTTGCTTAAGACCAAAAAAGTTTGGTGTTTCGTATGTGTTTGTTTTCCCTCTTCTTCCATGAAAAGCTGGTGAGTGTGGATTTATGTATTTTGCTTTGCTGGATCCCCCGGGGCTTGTGGTCAAAGCACACATATCGCACATGTGATTCAGAATCCCACACATGGAGGGACTTGAAAATTAATTGTTCTGTGTGGCTTACAAAATTATTCTTCTTACCTCACACACTGTAGCTATATAGCTCTATGTTTTTGTTTGCTTGTTTTTAGACAGGGTCTTGCTCTATCACCCTGGCTAGAGTGCACTGGTGTCATCATAGTGCACAGCAACCTCAAACTCCTGGGCTCAAGCAATCCTCGGGTCTCAGCCTCCTGTGTAGCAGGGACTACGGGTGCGTGCCACTATGCCTGGCTAATTTTTCTATGTTTAATAGAGATGGGGTCTCACTTGCTCAGCTTGGTCTCGAATGCCTGGGCTGAAATGATCCTCCTGCCTCCGTCTCCAGAGTAGCTGGGACTATAGGCACACACCATCATGCCCAGCTAATTTTTTTTTTTTTTTTTTTGAGACAGAGTCTCGCTTTGTTGCCCGGGCTAGAGTGAGTGCCGTGGCGTCAGCCTAGCTCACAGCAACCTCAAACTCCTGGGCTCGAGTGATCCTTCTGCCTCAGCCTCCCGGGTAGCTGGGACTACAGGCATGCGCCACCATGCCCGGCTAATTTTATATATATATATCAGTTGGCCAATTAATTTGTTTCTATTTATAGTAGAGACGGGGTCTCACTCAGGCTGGTTTTGAACTCCTGACCTTGAGCAATCCGCCCGCCTCGGCCTCCCAAGAGCTAGGATTACAGGCGTGAGCCACAGCGCCCGGCCATGCCCAGCTAATTTTTAACATTTTTTGTAGAGACAGGGGTCTCACTATGTTGTCCAGGCTAGTCTAGAAGTCCTGGCCTCAAGCAAACCTCCTGCCTTGCCCTCCAAAAGTACTGGGATTATAGGCGTGAGCCACTGCACTGGGCAGAACCATCTCTTGATGGAACCCTTGGGGTCATTTCTGGATAGTGTTTCCAGAATCACTTGTTTCTTTCAAGAGTGGCAGCCTCCTGGGTTATACCTGGTTGGGAGACAAAGGGAAGTCTTCCTCTGCATAGTTGAGACAAACTAGCGATTTTTCAGGGGAGCTATGTTTGTAAGCTGGCTTGAAAAGTTTTGAATTTTTTCATGCAATGGGAAGAACAGGAGAGGGGATACGTTGTGGCAAACCAGGCAATAGGAGGGGGGAGGGTACAGGGAGGTAGGTATTTCCCATCCCCATCTCTCCTCCCCTTCATTATCAGCTCCCTAGACTGGCTCACCAGCACCTGAGCACTGCAGCACCGGCCCCACCTGGGAGAAGGGGGCTTATTATTAGGGTCTCGCTGTGGCCATCTCCTTCAGCACTCACATTTCTGAACTGGCCATTTCCACTGAGATATCAAGGCTAACCCATTTCCTGTTGAAGCAGACACTGTATAAACGGTTGCTAAAATTATTCACAATAGCCAAAAAGGTGGAAATAACCTAAGTGTTCGTCCACAGGTAAAAGTGGCATATACATACAGCCTTAAAAAGAAAATTCTGACACATGCTACAACCTATGCTAAGTGAAATAAGCCAGTCACAAAAGGAAAATACTGGTTGGGCACCGTGGCTCACGCTTGTAATCCTAGGAGGCTTGTAAAACCTGGGAGGCCGAGGTGGGCGGATCGCTCAAGGTCAGGAGTTCGGAACCAGCCTGAGCAAAAGTGAGACTTTATCTCTACTCTACTAAAAAAAAAAAAAAAAAATAGAAAGAAATTAATTGGCCAACTAAAAATATAAATATAAAAAATTAGCCAGGCATGGTGGCACATGCCTGTAGTCCCAGCTACTCCCTTGAGCCCAGGAGTTTGAGGTTGCTGTGAGCTAGGCTGACCCCATGGTACAGAGCAAGCCCCGGGAACAGAGCAAGACTCTGTCTCAAAAAAAAAAAAAAAAAAAAGGAAAATACTGTATGATTCCACTTACATGTGGTACCAGAGTAATAAAACTCACAAGGACAGACAGTAGAATAGTGGTTGTCAGGGGCTGGGGGACACGGAGTTGTTCAATGGGTACAGAGTTTCTGTTCGGGGGGATGAAAAGTTGATGAATATGGATAGTGGTGACGGTTACACAACACCGTGAACATACTTAATGCCATCGAATTGTATACTTAAATATAGTTAAAAATGGTAAATTTTATGTTATGTATATTTCACCACAATTTTTAAAAAATATAAATAAATTAGTTGCTTAGTCAAAAGTTTTTGGGTGGGGAGGAGGAAATTTTTAAACCCACTCAGAATATTCCCCCAAAATATCAAAAAATAATGAGAAAGGGCCGGGTGCGGTGGCTCACACCTATAATTTTAGCACTTTGGGAGGCCGAGGTGGGAGGATTGCTCGAGGTCAGGAGTTCGAAACCAGCCTGAGCAAGAGCGAGACCCCGACTCTATTAAAAATAGAAAGAAATTAATTGACCAACTAAAAATAAATATAGAAAAAAATTAGCCGGGCATGGTGGTACATGCCTGTAGTCCCAGCTACTCAGGAGGCTGAGGCAGAAGGATTGCTTAAGCCCAGGAGTTTGAGGTTGCTGTGAGCTAGGCTGATGCCACGGCACTCTAGCCCGGGTCACAGAGTGACACTCTGTCTCAAAATAAATAAATAAAACAAAAAATAAAAATAAATACAAAAATAATGATAAAGAAGACAGTTACGGTACAGCTAACATCCTTCTACTTTTTTTTAACATAACGAACGCTAGAATGTAAGCTCCAAATGGGCAGGGACTTTCGTCAGTTTTTTTTTTTAACAGACTGACTGACTCACCCACCCTCTCTCCACTTGTGAGTTTTGTTTCCTGCCGAAACAGTATGCTGGAGTAGCGTAGGCACAGAGTAGGTGATCAACCCGTGTTTGCTGGCCGTGAATTTGTTGAATGAATACCAAGTGTCTGCTACGTTCAAGGGATTTTATTAGGAGCTGTATGGACCGAAAGGATGTACGGGGCGTGGCAGCCATCCTTAGGAGTTCACAGCCCAGCGGGGAGGACCAGGATGTGTCCAGAAGCAGCTAACATGCAAGACACTTCGCGAGTGCTCGGTGAGTGCCATAAATAATGCAACAAAGAATGTTTTTCTCACTTTGAATCAGTTTATGGAATAAGCAAAAGTTACATATACTTTGGTCAGTAAATCTTGGTCCTTTCTTATTTAAAATTTTTTTTACACAGAGAGAAAAATTTTTAAACATGCTTTCACATAATTGTACTTTAACAGGAGATAAATTTGGATTTGGAAGTGTTCTGTACTGAAAGAAATACTGGCCCTTTTAGAAACTTTTTTTACAGTTTCAAATGATCTCATCTCAAAGATAGTCTGTTTCAGACAGAGACATCTGATATCTAACAGGGCCTGTGGTGGCTGCTAATGAAACAATGGATTTCCCAGGAGAGAGGAGAGAGAGAATGCCACACGGCTATGTCATGAACTGCTCTGTTCCGGTTGTCCCACCAAGGAAGGCACAGGACTGCTAGGAGAACACAGAAAGGCTGTCCTTTTTCTCTCCTGCTTCCGCCTCCTCTGGGACATTCATCCCTCTTTGGGCTGAAGCAGGGAGAGATCAGGGAAGCCACCACGTTGCCAGAAGGGCCTCTCGAAGCAGGAGCAGTTTAAAGAAAACCAATGGACTATCTGATTGGTGGTAAGTAGACAACGAAGTCCTTGCTAGAGATAAACACAAAAGCAAGGGTTTGGGATGGCAATTGTTTTAAAGTTCCAAAACATGGAGGTCAAAAACTTTTGACTTCAAGTAAAAGATTCAGAGCATTTTGGAAGAAAGAAACATACTACTCAAGAGTGGGGTAAACCTAGGTTAATATTAAGTAGCAAGTGATAAAACTGAGGATTGATGAGACTGCCAACAAACTATAATCAGTCATGTATTTTAAAAGTTCCTTTGAAGAATTATGTACTTCATATTTTTTTTTTGAGAAAGATCTCGCTTTGTTGCCCAAGCTAGAGTGAGTGCAGTGGCGTCAGCCTAGCTCAGAGCAATGTCAAACTCCTGGGCTCAAGCAATCCTGCTGCCTCAGCCTCCCAAGTAGCTGGGACTACAAGCATGCACCACCATGCCCAGCTAATTTTTTCTATATATATTAGTTGGCCAATTAGTTTCTTTTCTATTTATAGTAGAGACGGGGTCTCGCTCTTGTTCAGGCTGGTTTATAACTCCTGACCTCAAGCAATCCGCCCACCTCGGCCTCCCAGAGTGCTAGGATTACAGGCGTGAGCCACCCCACCAGGCCTCAAAAGCCTGTTTGACAAAGAGCCTGTGCTCACCTGGTGGCAGCCTATTTAATTTCACCCAATAAACCAAAAGGAAATAAACTGCTGCATTTGCAAATTAAACCCATATAAAGTAATAGTAATAGTTCTACCTTCCTCTCCTCCTCTACTTTCACATACAATATGCACACTTGTTCTCTTTCTCTCAACCTCAAAAAAATTGTTTAAAAATATTAAATTAGTATCTAGGGAGAAGTGATGAGTAAAAGTGTGAGGGTGTAAGATAAAGGTTAAATGCTTCTTAAGAGATCACATACTCAAATTTGAAATTGTAGCGAAGCTCTTTTAACAGCTAATTCATTTGATTATTCCTTTTTAATTTTCTAAAATTATGGTGAGGCTGTACAGATGCTAATAGCCACTTTTCATTATTCCACAGTTGTAGGTTTTTGATGTTACAAACAAGGATGAACCATGCCAGAACACGCAGAAGGTAATAAGTTAAGGGAGTGGCTCAAGACCCCACGCTTTAGAGTACTGGTGAGCAGCCATAATGACAGGGCAGGACAGAGACTCTGGAAGGTGGTCAAGAGAGACATAGGACACCCGGCGCCAGTGCTGGAGACTGGGACCAACAGGTTAGAGGAAGCACATTCAGTAACGTTAAGTGATCAGTGTGCAGCTTGTACTGTGCCCTGGGCAGTGCAAGGCAAAACTAGCAGGGAACTGTGAGGGGGACTGAGGCGTGGCTCCTGCCATCAGCCCCTCCTTGCCTTCTATCAATAAGACAAAGCAAGATGTATTTTGCTAATTGCACAGACAATCCCCAGGCTGCAGGTTTTGGTCTTCTTCACGACCACCTGCCCCTAACTGCCCTTCCCCTGGCTGCATTCTGCTGGTTAAGGGGACTTGACTTCACTTGACTTGAGGCCAGGAGTTCAAGACCAGCCTGGGCAACATAGTTTTGTAGAGACCCTGTCTCTACAAAAACCAAAAAAAAAATTTAGCTGGGCATCATAGTGTGCACTTGTAGTCCCAGCTACTCAGGAAGCTGAAGTGGGAGGATCACCCCAGCCCAGGAGTTTAAGCTATGAGTTTATGCCATCCGCCTGGGTGACACAGTGAGATCCCACCTCTAAAAATATTGATAAAATAAAAATAAAGAATGGTGGCTGCAGGGCTGGTGGGGTGAAATCTTGTCTCAAAACACTGATTAACCAAACTGTGCCAGGACGAACTGGCCTACGAAGATAAACCACTGTCATTCACGTCAATGGGCCACTTGGAGAAATCTCACGAAACCCACTGCGTCCCACTCCCTTATCCCCTAAAACTCATCCGCACAAAGTTTTACACAGTTTTATGGGGTTTCATGACCCACTAAAATCCATCCATGGAATTTGAGGCTGGGCGCGGTGGCTCACACCTGCAATCCTAGCACTCTGAGAGGCTGGGGCGGGCGGATTGCTCGAGGTCAGGAGTTCAAAATCAGCCTGAGCAAGGGCGAGACCCTGTTTCTACTATAAACAGAAAGAAATTAATTGGTCAACTAATATATATAGAAAAAATTAGCCGGGCATGATGGCGCATGCCTGTAGTCTCAGCTACTTAGGAGGCTGAGGCAGTAGGATTGCCTGAGCCCAGGAGTTTGAGGTTGCTGTGAGCTAGGCTGACGCCACGACACTCTAGCCCAGGCAACAGAGTGAGACTCTGTCTCAAAAAAAAAACAAACAAAAAAAACTGTAATCCTAGCACTCTGGGAGGCTGAGGCGGGCGGATTGCTCGAGGTCAGGAGTTTGAAACCAGCCTGAGCAAGAGCGAGATCCCGTCTCTACTATAAATACAAAGAAATTAATTGGCCAACTAATATATATAGAAAAAATTAGCCGGGCATGGTGGCGCATGCCTGTAGTCCCAGCTACTCGGGAGGCTGAGGCAGGAGAATTGCTTGAGCCCAGGAGTTTGAGGTTGCTGTGAGCTAGGCTGATGCCACGGCACTCGCTCTAGCCTGGGCAACAAAGTGAAACTCTGTCTCAAAAAAAAAAAAAAATTAAAAAAAAAAATCCATCCATGGAATTTGAAATTAAGAATCTCTGCTCTAAAAGTTTCTATAAGAAGTTGGTACTGAAGTTCAAGACATGCTCCCCCAAAATATGCTGCTTTGGTATATTAAGTCTATTTCTTTTTCTATTTTATTCTTGTTATATTTGTCAGTGACTTGAAGCCCAAGTAATGCCATTCCTACTTTACAAACGAGAACCGGGGCACAGAGAAGTTAAATGACTCACTCAGGGTCACAAAGGTAGCCCATGGCAAGGCCACAATCTGCACTAAAGTATCCTGGAACCAGAGACTATGCCCTTAACCATGACATCAATGGTTACCTAGCTTTATTTTTAACTAAAGGCACTTGAAAAACAACTGGTACATGAAGGGTGCGCTAACCTTTCTTTTCTTCCTGAAAGCAGATGAGACTACCATATAAAAGATGCCATCCCTATACCAGAAGGGAAGAAACATTCATATCACCAGAGATGGGGAGTCCAGGCCAAGAGAAATCTGCACAAACCTTGTTAACCTAACCCTCATCTTCCTTGTTACTTCTCCATGAGTGCCACTCTTTGTCCAACCTGGTATATGAGCACTTAGGTCTAGTCACATCTTTGGGTCTTCTATTTTTTCTTATGATGGTTCCCACATATGTGTAAATAAAATTCGTATGCATTTCTCCTGTTAATCTGTTTTGTCAGTTTAGTTAGGCCCAGCTGGAGACCCTAAGAGGGCAGAGGAGAAATTTGCCTCCCCTGTAGTACCAAATTGGGGAATGAAGAATGACCAGCACTGCAGGGCTGGGATTAAGCAAAAGGAAATTGAATTGACCACAGACAGTTAAGGAAGCATATCCGAGCACTTGGGCACCTGTTACCTTTTGGTCTGCAAAGAGCCAGCTCTGTGTGTGTGTGTGTGTGTGTGGTGTGTGTGTGTGTGGTGGTGTTGAGACAGAGTCTCACTCTGTTGCCCAGGCTACAGTGCTGTGGCGTCGGCCTAGCTCACAACAACCCAAACTCCTGGACTCAAGCAATCCTCCGCCTCAGCCTCTCAAGTAGCTGGGACTACAGGCTGTGCCACCATGGCCTGCTAGATCATATATATATATATATATAATATTTTTTTTAGTTTTCCAGCTAATTTCTTTCTATTTTTTTAGTAGAGATGGGGTCTCACTCTTGCTCAGGCTGGTCTGGAATTCCTGAGCTCAAACCATCCATCCGCCTCGGCCTCCCAGAGTGCTAGGATTACAGGTGTGAGCCACCACACCTGGCCAGGAGATGGTTTTTTTTTTTTTAATTTATATTTTAATAATTTAATTTTCATTCTTTTTTGATTTTTTTAAAAATCCACTGCTGACTGGATAGGAGATCCAGTTTTTGACAAGGGCTGCCTCAGAGCACAGACTGGTACCTGCCTCTGGGGTGGGTGTTGATGAAGTTTCAGGTCAGAGCATGATGGATGGAGTTCTGCTTTTTGAGGCTATGAAGGAGGGGTTGTGGCCTTTTGAGGACGGGCATTGAAAACCTTGTCTGGGATCAGAAGGGTAGCTAAGGCTGGAGAGGGATGGCTAAGAGGAGGGCTACAGGACCACAGCAATTATTAGGACAAAGGCCCAAACATTCCAGCCTGCTGGCTTCACTGTGTCCACCTGGCCTGTGACAATACAGGTAGAAGAGGGCCCAGTGATTCGCTCTCCACCTGGACTCCTCTGCGGCCTCCTTCACAGATAAGGGGAGTGCATATTTGAGCTTGAAGCTTGTGGCAAGAATTACCTTGGGTATCTTTCTCTTCTTCCTGCCATTCTGTGGGTCTCCGAGGTTAAAGAACGTGTCATCAGGGCTGCTGGGAGTGGAGGGGGGGCTGATTTTGGAAGGGGACCCAGTTCCATCCCGACTCAGCTTCCTAGTGTCCAGCAGTTTGAAGTTCCTCCTCTCTGAATTTTGCCGGAAAAAAGCAGGTTTGGACAATGACTGCTGTGAGGGGAAGGGAGAAAAGAAGAATAAATAAATACAAATGGAACTGACCGGGAGACAACTGGTGGTGCCAGTGACGAAGACCATGAAATTGAGAATTGAGTTGGTCTAAGTTCCCAGGGTACATGGAGTTTGTTTATGCTAATAAGTGCTCAATAAACACTTATCATCCAATTATGGAAAATTTGTGCGATAAAGGATGTACACCTAATCCAGTTTCTCTTTTTAGATAAGTGGGAAGTCACTTAGCTCAATCCCTAGACTTTATAGATGAAGCTTTTGGATAATCGAAGACACATGTACTAGGAGTTATATGATCTAGACCTATCTTTGACTTTCCCACTGCCTCACTGAGTGTCTCCTATACAAGGAATTTGGCTTCTCAGCCTCAGTATCTTATTTCTAAAACAAGCCTCTTTAAAGTCAAAAGGCAAATAAAAAGCTTGCTAAAAAAATTTACAACTCAACACAGGAAAGAACTTTTTTTCCTAATATATACCACAAATTAATGAGAAAAAGACTAACAACTCAAAAGATAAATAGGCAAAAGAATGGAAAATTTGTAGATAAGGAAATACAATGACGCTTAGATATATAAAAAATTCTTACCATCACAAGAGTAAAGAAAATTAAAACTCTGTTAAAGAAATGTTTTTCACTCAAAGATAGGAAAATTTGATAGCTGAATCCATTGATGAAAGCGAGGGGGAAAAGTCACTTGGTTGGTAGAAATATAAACTGGTTATAGAAATAGAAATATTTCTATTTTGGTTGGTAGAAATATAAACTGGCACAGTTCTAGGAGTAGTTAACAAAATACAGTGCATATACCCTTTGACTCAGGAATTCCACCTCTAGGAATTTACTCTGCTGATATAATCATATTTGTGCAGTGTTATATTATACAACGAGAGTTACATTGTGCAAAGTATATTGCATATTATGATGTGGTTTGTCATCACAAACTACTGGAGATGGACTAAATGTCCATCAGTAGAGGCTGGTCAAATAAGTTATGATACATTCATATAGTGGAATACTATGCAACTGTAAAAAATGTATATTAAGCATAAAAAGCAAGGTATAGAATAGTTGGCATAGTATGCTGGTGTGTGTGTGTGTGTGTGTGTGTGTGTGTGTTTTAAGGAGCTGTTTTGCTGGCATATGCATGGAATAGTTCTAGAAAAACACATAAAAAACTAATTATTGGTTGATCTGGAGGAGAGAAATGGGGGATGGGACAAGAGGAAGCCTTTTCACTCTATACCTTTTGTACTCCTTAAATTTTGAACTGTATGAATGTATTAACTATTCATTAAAATAAGAAATATTAATAAAATAAAGTAAAAGAAGCACTTTGACTCCATGTTTACTAGCAATATTTTCAGGAGTCACATTTTATGATGCTATATAGTTGCAAAGTTTCTTTTTTAAATTAATGAATGAGGCTGGGTGCGGTGGCTTACGCCTGTAATCCTAGCACTCTGGGAGGCCGAGGCTGGAGGATAGCTCAAGGTCAGGAGTTCGAAACCAGCCTGAGGAAGAGCAAGACCCCCGTCTCTACTAAAAATAGAAAAGAAATTAATTGGCCAACTAAAAATATTTAGAAAAAATTAGCCGGGCATGGTGGTGCATGCCTGTAGTCCCAGCTACCAGGGAGGCTGAGGCAGGAGGATTGCTTGAGCCCAGGAGTTTGAGGTTGCTGTGAGCTAGGCTGATGCCACGGTACTCACTCTAGCCTGAGTAACAATAAGATTCTGTCTCAAAAAAATTAATTAATAAATTAATTAACTAAATGAAGTAAAGGTATATAGAGTACCTAGCAGAGTACCTGATAGTCAATGGGCTTCGACATGTTATCTCACTTTCTTCCTCTTACAGGCACATGCTGCCAAGCTGGCTAATTTTTAAAACAATATATTTTGGGCCAGGCGAGGTGGCTCACTCCTGTAATCCTCGGCACTCTGGGAGGCCGAGGTGGGTGGATAGCTTGAGCATAGGAATTCGAGACCAGCCTGAGCAAGAGCGAGACCCCGTCTCTACTAATAAAAAGAAAGAAATTAATTGGCCAACTAAAAACATATAGAAAAAATTAGCCGGGCATGGTGGCGCATGCCTGTAGTCCCAGCTACTTGGGAGGCCGAGGCAGAAGGATTGCTTGAGCCCAGGAGTTTGAGGTTGTTGTGAGCTAGGCTGACACCATGGCACTCTAGCCCCAGCAACAGAGTGTCTCAAATATAAATAAATATATATATATATATTCTACAGATAGGATCTCACCATGTTACTGAGGCTGGTCTCACACTCCTGCCCTCAAGTGATCCACCTGCCTTGGCCTTCCAAAAGTACTGGGACTGCAGGCATGAACCACCATGCCTGGCCCACTCTTGCCTATTTATCTTGTAGAATTCTAATGTTTTTCTTATTATTTTGGATGAGCTCTATACAGAACAGATATTAAGCACTGGTCAGTTTTGCTGCAAGTATGCTTTTCCTGTGTGGTTTATTTGTATTTTGGTTATGTGGAATTTTTCACATAACTTTTTATAGGAAAATCTGCTAATCTTTTCCTTTGTGATGCATTTAATCTTTTTTCTTTGCCTAGTAAATCGATCTCTTTTTAGAAGTTTAATATTTATTAAATAATAATAAATATTTATTAAATATTAAATTTAATATTTATTAAATATTAAATTCAATTCCATTTTCTTCAGGATTTTTCTTGGTGGTTTTTTTTTTTTTTTTTTTTTGAGACAGAGTCACACTTTGTTGCCCGGGCTAGAGTGAGTGCCGTCAGCCTAGCTCACAGCAACCTAAAACTCCTGAGCTCAAGCAATCCTACTGCCTCAGCCTCCCAAGTAGCTGGCCAATTAATTTCTTTCTATTTATAATAGAGACAGGGTCTAGTCCTTGCTCAGGCTGGTTTCGAACTCCTGACCTTGAGCAATCCGCCCCGCCTCGGCCTCCCAGAGAGCTAGGATTACAGGCATGAGCCACTGTGCCCAGCTCTTGGTTTGTTTTGAACATACTTTATTCCTTAATACATCAGTAACTTATTTTGTACTATGTTTATCGAAATCATTTTTTCTAGGTTGGATGAGGTGGCTCATGCTTGTAATCCTAGCACTTTGGGAGGCTGAGGCGGGTGGATTGCTTGAGGTCAGGAGTTCGAGACTAGCCTGAGCAAGAGTGAGACTCCTGTTTCTGCTAAAAATAGAAAAATTAGCTGGACATGGTGGAGTGCACCTATAGTCCCCAGCTACTCAGGAGGCTGAGACAGGAGGATCATTTTAGCCCAGGATCTGAGGTTGCTGTGCACCAGGCTGATGCCACTACACTCTAGCCAGGGTGACAGAGCAAGACTCTGTCTCAAATAAAAAAAAAAAAAAATTGATGACATGGGGAAATACTGATGATACATAAACATTTTAAAAGCATCAAAATTGCATATAAAATATGATAATATGATAAAAAATCTTTTTCTTAATGTCTTCACACATACACACAAACACATACACATAGTGTATAAGAAAATATGAAAAAAAAATTAAAAAACCAAATTGTTAACAGTGGTTATATCTGGGTATTGGAATTACATGTAATCTGTAAAAAGATCTTTAAAACACAAATACACTGGGAGGCTGAGGCGGGCGGATTGCTTGAGGTCAGGGGTTCGAAACCAGCCTGAGCAAAAGCGAGACCCCGTCTCTACTATAAATAGAAAGAAATTAATTGGCCAACTAATATATATAGAAAAAATTAGCCGGGCATGGTGGCGCATGCCTGTAGTCCCAGCTACTTGGGAGGCTGAGGCAGGAGGATTGCTTGAGCCCAGGAGCTTGAGGCTGCTGTGAGCTAGGCTGACGCCACGGCACTCACTCTAGCCTGGGCAACAAAGCGAGACTCTGTTTCAAAACAAAACAAAACAAAACAAAAAAACCCCATAAATACACATATGCATGATACCAATCTGTTATAGAAAAATTAGAAAATAGAGGTGAGCATAAAGAAAAATAAAATTTCCCAATTGTGGATGAGTTTTATATTCTTCATTATACTTTTCAGCATTTAAAAAACGTTTAAGATGAGAGTGTTTTATTTTCAGACAAAAGAAAGGTTATTTTAAAAAAGAACACATATCAAAAACTGTAATTCTATTTATTTAGCAGACACACATGAATAGCACTTACTATGTTGCAGGCACTAGTCTAAGTGGTTTTTTTTTTTTTGTTTTTTTTTTTTTTTTTTTTTTTTGAGACAGAGTCTCACTTTGTTGTCCAGGCTAGAGTGAGTGCCGTGGCGTCAGCCTAGCTCACAGCAACCTCAAACTCCTGGGCTCGAGTGATCCTTCTGCCTCAGCCTCCCGAGTAGCTGGGACTACAGGCATGTGCCACTATGTCCGGCTAATTTTTTATATATATATATCAGTTGGCCAATTAATTTCTTTCTGTTTATAGTAGAGACGGGGTCTCGCTCTTGCTCAGGCTGGTTTTGAACTCCTGACCTTGAGCAATCCGCCCGCCTCGGCCTCCCAAGAGCTAGGATTACAGGCGTGAGCCACAGCGCCCGGCCAGTCTAAGTGGTTTATGAGCATTAATTTGATTAATCTCCGTAAGACCCTTGAGCGGGCTAGACTATTATTATTACTCCCATTCACCAATGAAGAAACTGAGGCATGTATTCTAAATGAGATCATTTGCCCCAGCCACACAGCTAGCAAGTGGCATAGGCAGGTTTTGCATGGAGGCTGTCAGGCCCCGGAACCTACACACTTGGCCAGACACTGCCTCCTGCAGACACAGCTAAGTGACACATGATGTGCTCGTGTGAGACTGTGGGTGGGCCATACAGGCAGCCAGAGAATGCCAGTCAGAATACATTTTCCCTTTAGGTGTCAAAACATAAAAAAGTGTTTCTCATATTAGCCTAGATTCCCTTAACCATAAAAATTAGTTCTGCCACATTCCCTGTGCAGTTTGAGCTAAAGAAATGGGAGCGGGGGGGGGGGGCCACGGGACACATGTAGCAAGAAAATAAAACGGTCCCTTCTCAGGAGCTTGTATTTAGCGTTCACAAGCAGTAGCATCTGCCCCCAGCAGCACGTCTGCTCCTTTCTGAGAGCCTGACACTTCCCTCTATACTGGGACTAGGCATGATCTAATGAAACGAACATCCCAAAGATGGCTGAGGACATTTCCATGGCTGGGACAGGACTTTGACACAGAGGGACTGCTTCAGCAAGTTCTAGAGTCCCAGATGCAGCCCAGATGTTGCAGATGCTCAATGAATATTTGATGAGCTAAATGGAGGAAGTGGTTAAGTCTGCAGCTGTCCCCCAGAACAGGGGCACAAATCAGACACCCGGACGTGGGCAAGCAGAACAATGAACATGGACACAGCATTCTGCTGATGACCTGCAAAGGCCCCAGACAGACTGCAAGAGCCAGTGGCAATCAGACACGTGTGCCCGACAACTGCGTTTTCTTTCTTCAGGACAGCTGTATCTGGACTTCAAGTTCTTGCTGAGATTCTCACCTATTGGGCTTAGCGGCTTCAGTGGCTGAGGCTCTAGGTGTCCTCTAGCCTGGCAGGGACAGGAAGAGAGGGGTTGTTAAGCCTTTACTCTCTGGTATGAGGGAGGAGAGCCCTGCTCGGAATGCAGAGCTGCTTTGGGCAGATGTTTTTCATTGTTCCCCAGAGGTGATGCAGTTCACTCCTGCATGAAGTGGGGAGCCAGGCAGGATGTGAAGGGGGCAGACTGCGTGTGACGGATGTCTTTTTTCTTCTAAGTCAGGCTTCTCCACTATGGGAAATGAAGGCTTTCCTAAACGTTGAAGATATCCATATTCCAGGGAAAGCACAAACAACACATTTCCAAGGCAAGTAGAAACTGTTTGCTAATTATTGGTCATATGGATTATTCATGATGATGCTCTTCTCCATATGAGGAGAGACACGGCAGTTAATAGGTTTGGGCAAGTGCTGTAGTAATTGGCTTGGGTCTGCAAGACCCACCCTTTGGGATAGGTCGTAACTTAGCTCTTCAGGAAGCTTCCCTTTGAGACTGTCAAGCACAGAGGGCCGGCCTCGGGTAGAGATGCCCCCACCTGCCAGCAAATGCAGGTCCCGTCGGGCTTGGACAGGAAAACGGTGGTTTTCTTAGGCCAGAAACAGACATTTAAACTGACATTTGCAACAGGGATTTGACCTTCCTTTATTTACTACAATTTCTTCAAAAACTAAGTATTTGGAACAACTATGTTAGGCCTTACGGGAGACACAATGAAACAGATAGTATACTTTCTGACCTTGAGGAATTTATAATCTAGTTGGGGAGATGCTTTTAGAATATATTATAAAACTTACATCACAACTCAAACCATCAATGTAAGAGATGCCATAACGCAGGATACAATTTAGTGTGAAATGAAGGTAGGAATGACCTGACACAGGGTCAGCAAATCATGGCTTGTGGGCCACATCTGGTCCACCATTTGTTTTTGTACAGGCCATGAGTTAAGAATAGTTTTCACATTTTTGAATAGTTGAAAAACAAATAATGTTTCATGACAAGTGAAAATTATATAAAATCCAAATATCAGTGTCCATTAAAAAAAGTTTTATTGGAACATAGCTGCACTCATTTGTTTACATATTGTCTATGGCTGCTTCACACCATAATGGCCATGCTGAGTGGTTACAATAGGGACCATATAGCTCGCAAAGCCTAAAATATTTACTCGCTGGTTCTTTAGAGAAAGTTTGCCAATCCAAGGCCTGTAACTTCAGAGGGCAGTTGGTAGGCTCTCGCTGGAGGGGAACATTTATATGGAGCAAGTGCAGGAGATTAGGAAACATTGTGTGCCCAGCGATCAATTATGAAGGATATTTATTGCTGGGCTAAAGAACATGAACTCAGGCCTATAGGCAATGGGTTGAAATCATTATCATGTATGTGAATATAGTTACAATGTTATCCACGTGGACATGGCACAAACTCCAGAAAGTTCAAAAGGATATTCTTTTTTTTTTTTTTTTTTGTAAGATAAGGTCTGACTCTGTTGTCTGGGCCAGAGTGCAATGACATCATCATAGCTCACCGCAACCTCAAACTCGTGGGCTCAAGTGATCCACCTGCTTCAGCCTTCTGAGTAGCTGGGACTGTAGGTGCATGCCACCATGCCTGGCTAATTTTTCTATTTTTTGTAGAGACAGGGTGTCACTCCTTCTCAGTCTGGTCTAGAACTTCTGACCTCAAGCAATCCTCCTGCCTCAGCCTTCTAAAGTGCTAGGATTAGGCCGGGCGCGGTGGCTCACGCCTGTAATCCTAGCTCTCTGGGAGGCCGAGGCGGGCGGATTGCTCGAGGTCGGGAGTTTGAAACCAGCCTGAGCAAGAGCGAGACCCCGTCTCTACTATAAATAGAAAGAAACTAATTGGCCAACTAATATATATAGAAAAAATTAGCCGGGCATGGTGGCTCATGCCTGTAGTCCCAGCTACTTGGGAGGCTGAGACAGAAGGATCGCTTGAGCCCAGGAGTTTGAGGTTGCTGTGAGCTAGGCCGACACCACGGCACTCACTCTAGCCTAGGCAACAAAGCGAGACTCTGTCTCAAAAAAAAAAATAAATAAATAAAGTGCTAGGATTGATTACAGGTGTGAACCAGCAAACCTGGCCCAGAAGGATATTCTGTAAAAAGAAAATCTACTCTGACCTCTGAGTACTCAGACAACTCCACCCACCGAGGTCCTCAGTTATTCATTCTTAGGTATTCTTACAGAGATATTCTTGTATATATACAAACATGTGAGTTTACGTATGTATATTTTTTTCATTAAAAATCCCACAAATGGGGCTGGGCGTGGTGGCTCACGCCTATAATCCCACCACTCTGGGAGGCCGAGGCTGGAGGATCCCTCAAGGGCAGGAGTTCAAAATCAGCCTGAGCAGAGTTCGAAACCAGCCTGAGCAAGAGCGAAACCCCGTCTCTACTATAAATAGAAAGAAGGTAATTGGCCAACTAATATATATAGAAAAAATTAGCCAGGCATGGTGGCGCATTCCTGTAGTCCCAGCTACTTGGGAGGCTGAGGCAGAAGGATTGCTTGAGCCCAGGAGTTTGAGGTTGCTGTGAGCTAGGCTGACGCCATGGCACTCACTCTAGCCTGGGCAACAAAGCAAGACTCTGTCTCAAAAAAAAAAAAAAAAAACCAGCCTGAGCAAAAGCAAGACCCCATCTCTACTAAAAATAGAAATAAATTAATTGGCCAACTAAAAATATATACAAAAAACTTAGCCAGGCATGGTGGTACATGCCTGTAGTCCCAGCTACTCGGGAGGCTGAGGCAGTAGGATCGCTTGAGCCCAGGAGATTGAGGTTGTTGTGAGCTAGGCTGATGCCATGCACTCACTCTAGCCTGGGCAACAAAGTGAGACTCTGTCTCAAAAAAAATATCCCACAAATCCCACAAATACTGTTCTACACCATGCCTTTCAGTCTTATATCTTAGAGAGTTTGTTCTATGTCAGGACACTCTTCTTTTTTTTTTTTTTTGAGACAGAGTCTCACTTTGTTGCCTAGGCTAGAGTGAGTGCCATGGCGTCAGCCTAGCTCACAGCAACCTCAAACTCCTGGGTCAAGCAATCCTTCTGCCTAGCCTCCAAGTAGCTGGGACTACAGGCATGCGCCACCATGCCGGCTAATTTTTTCTATATATAATTAGTTGGCCAATTAATTCTTTCTATTATAGTAGGAACGGTCTCGCTCTTGCTCAGGCTGGTTTCGAACTCCTGACTTCGAGCAATCCGCCCGCCTCGGCCTCCCAGAGAGCTAGGATTACAGGCGTGAGCCACCGCGCCTGGCAGGACATTCTTCTTAACAGTTGTATAGTGTGAGTATGGATGTACCACCTTTTATTTACCCAGCTTGAGGAGGTTCTGAGCAACTCTAATGGTATCTTAGGAAGCCTTGCTGAGCAGAGGGGTTCCAGGAGAACCAGAGGCAGGGAGACCGGGCAGGTAGTAGATGTACAAATGCAGGAGCCTGGCTGGGAGGGTGGCCTGGAATTCCAGTGCTAGTTGGGACTCCAGAGTGTTCAAGTCCACTGTGCCCCCTGTCCGGCCACTGCTCCCCTGGGGACTCATACCTTGGTGGGTGTGTCAGGGATTGAAGAGGTGGGAGAACCAGGAAAGGTCAAGACACACTTCTTCCCCAGGCAGCGACCATGTAACTCGATGTCCTCATAAGGGTTTTCCTTCACTGGTGGATCTATGGTCGAAGACAACAGGTCAGGAACGTGGGAATACTGTGGAAGTTTTCCTTTTCAGAACACTGAAGCTAACTTCTTGGCCTCTCCTGCATTAATCTTTGTGGGGACGTCTGTTGTTTTGCTATGTATTCACCCGCCTCTTGGCAACCGCCTCTGATTTCATATAGTTAACTCCCCATGTCCCCATTAGTAGCCATATGAGATTAACCCCATTCCCAGCTTCAGGGCTTTAGCCAGTCCGAGTATCCCAAATCCCTCCCTCAGTGATCAGTACAGGGAAGGGCATATCCTAAGCCTAAGGCAATCACTGCATGGTATTCCCAGACTCCAAAGGTGAACACAGGACCTAAGCTGGTCTGGTTAGGGGGGACCTCAAGATTTTTGCTGGGACTTGCAGGACTTGCACAGGCTCTCCTTCCCCCTGTGCAATCTGAGGAAGGTACAGATTCCAGGGAGCTGATGAAACCATTGTGGGAATCATGGGAAGCCTGCTGAGAATGGAGCTAACCTGAAAGATAAGAAACAGAAGAAGGAAGAGCCAGCTCTACTCACATGAGCCAACAAACTCCCTTTGTTGTTTCAGGTGGGTTTTCTGTTCCTTGTAACTAGAAGCGTCCTGTTAGGCAGTCACTACTGAGACAAGTCCAGATCTCATACCCATTTTAGGTTTGGGAAGCCTGCTGCTCCGGCAGGAACCCAGCCTGGACTCTGCAGTTCAAATAATGTATGGTTCAGTTCAGATAGCTCAGCTAAGTACATGCCCTTTCCTGAGTCTTTTATTTCCTCCCTGCATGGGTTTTTTCTGCTGTTGACGACTGAATACAGGCATGTCTGTGTATATCCACACTCCCTCTCGCCTGCACACACGTGTGGGTTTCTCTCTTTTTTTTTGAGACAAAGTCTCGCTCTGTTGCCCTGGGCTCAAGTGATCCTCCTGCCTCAGCCTCCTGAGTAGCTGGCATCACACTTGGCTAATTTTTTCTATTTTTAGTAGAGATGGGGTTGCTCAGGATGGTCTTGAACTCCTGAGCTCAAGCAATCCTCCCTCCTCAGCCTCCCAGAGTGCTGGGATTATGGGTGTGAGCCACCAAACCTGGCCAGTTTCTCCCCTTACTAGTTTGTTTCTCCCCCCACCCCATACCCCCACCATAAGCAGACACAGCATGAGCTCACACCTCACTGAAACCATGATCTTCCCCAAAGATGTTTTTACTTTTTAAAAATTTTTGGAGACAGGATTTCACTATGTCTTCCCAGCTTGAGTGCAGTGGCATCATAGTTCACTGCAACCTCACACTCCTGGGGGCAAGTGATCCTCCTGCCTCAGACTCCTGAGCAGCTGAGACTACAGCTACTTTTTTCCTATTTTTTGTACAGATGGGGTCTCACTCTAGCTCGAGCTGGTCTCGAACTCCTGACTTCAAGCGATCCTCCTGCTTTAGCCTCCCAGAGCGCTGGGATTACAGGTGAGAGCCACCGTGCCCAGCCCCCCTGGAAGTTTGTTGAACTCACCAAACAAACTCTGTGAATCTGAGTCCCACTTTGGAATCTGAAAAGATTCTTTAGAACTAGGCCAAAGTTACTTTTTTAATAACAGACACTCATTTAGTCTGTATTTTGATGCCCTGTTAGTGCCACACTCCTACAGTTACTGAAAGAGTATGATGGTCTATATATTTTCTTTCCCTACAATCCACTGAGCATCTGTTACAAACCAGGTATTTGACATACTATTCTGTCCAGTCCTTTTTTTTTTTTGAGACAGAGTCTCACTCCGTTGTCCTGGGTAGAATGCTATGGTATCATAGCTCACAGCAACCTCAAACTTCTGGACTCAAGCAATCCTCCTGCCTCAGTCTCCCGAGTAGCTGGGACTACAGGGGCATCCCATGATGCCTGGCTAAGTTTTCTAGTTTTAGTAGAGACGGGGTCTTGCTCTTGCTCTTGCTCAGGCTGGTCTCAAACTCCTAAGCCCAAGCAATCCTTCCACCTCCGCCTCCCGGAGTGCTAAGATTATAGGCATGAGCCACTGCGCCTGGACAATTCTGTCCAGTCCTTAAGCAACCCTGCAGGGTAGCTATCATCATCCTCGTTACACAGATGAGAAAACTGAAGTTCAGAGAAGTTAAGCCACTGACTCAATGTCACGCAGCTAATAAACAGCAGAGCCAAGATTCGATTCTGGATCTTGAGACTCCTGGCACCACATTTCTCGCTGTGCCACGCCAGGCTGCCACGCCACCTCCTCGGCTGCTCAGCGCCAGCCCTTCTTCCCCTCCAGCCCCATATTCTTTCCCTTATCCCGTGAGGCTCACTCTTGGGCCCCACCTACCCGCTCTGTCACTCATTTGGGCACACATTGGTCTTCCAGTACGTGGGTGACTATTTTAAGCAGCCAGCCCCATTCGCTCCCCGCCTTTCCCACGAACAGATTCAGACCCACATACAGACATTTTGGCCTCTTACCTAGAATGTCTTCATAGACGTTCTCCTCCGATAAAGTGCGTGTGAGTCCCAGCTTAGTCTGTGCGTACCAGTCCACCCTGCTGTTCTCAGAGGAAGACTGCAGTAAGTCTTCAAACTCATAGGACTTTCTGGGTTGTGCAGGATGGGAGGGAAAAACAAAGAACTTGAATCAAATTAGGCTGCTCTGAGTACAACAAAAGTACAACAAAAAAAATCCGTTTTTCTTGGAAAAATTTCTATTTCTATTATTGAAATCAACTCTATTTTTTGTAAAAGGCTTTATGAAAATCCATGAATAAGAGACGTGGCTTTTACTTGTAAGAATGTTCATGCTATTATGCTAAGTGAAAATAGTAAAGTACATATAAAAAACACAATCCCAACTTTGTAAACATCTACATAGACAATAAAAAGAAGGAAAGGAAGTGAGATACACAGCTGTTATCTCAAGACTGAGGATGACTTTTCTTCATTTTGAATTTTCTGGATTTTTCAAATTTTCTACAAGTTTTCTGTTTTTTTGGAGACAGAGTCTTGCTCTGCTTCCTTGGCTAGAGTGCAGTGGCATCATCATAGCTCACTGCAACCTCAAACTCCTGGTGGGTTCAAGCGATCCTCCTACCTCAGCCTCCCGAGTATCAGGGACTACAGACATGTGCCACCATGCCCAGCTAATTTTTCTATTTTTTGTAGTGACGGGGGTCTCACTCTTGCTCAGGCTGGTCTTGAACTCCTGACATCAAGCAATCCTCCTGCCTTGGCCTTCCAGAGTCCTAGGATTACAGGTGTGAGCCACTGAACCTGGCCGGAATTTTTTACAAGATTTATAAAGCACCCCTTACTTATAATCCGAGAAGCAGTGAGGGTGAGCTCAGAGAAGACCAGAGGCCTGGGCCCCTCCCTCTTCCTCTCACCTCTCAATATGAAACCCAGGCTCATATCTGTAATCCTAGCACTCTGGGAGGCCAAGGCAGGCTCATTTGTGCTCAGGAGTTTGAGACCAATCTGAGCAAGATTGAGACCCCATCTCTACCAAAAATAGAAAAAATCAGCCAGGCATGGTGGCACGTGCCTATAGTTCCAGCTACTTGGGAGGCTGAGGCAGAAGGATCACTTGAGCCCAGGAGTCTTAGGGTGCTGTGAGCTAGGCTGACACCATGGCACTCTAGCCCGGGCAACAAAGTGAGAGACTCTGTCTCAAAAATATGAAACCCAGAGCCAGCTGAGACACTCCACCCTCCCCATCAGAGAGCGGTTCAAATGTGGCTGGGTCTCATTCCATGGCCTGGCACACTCTATGGCTTTTTATCATAAAACAGAAGCCCATCCCCAAAGGAGGAGCTACCACTTCATGGGCCCCTTCTTCCTACCCTTGAGGTGTCTAGCTAGGACAGGCAGGACCAAGCTTCAGAGGTCTATTAGATGAGGCCAAAGGGTGGGAGGCAGGTGGGGGTGTTTTCTCAGGATGGGAATAGGCTCTGAGCCCACCCTTACATTTTCTAGTGAGGTTGCCATTGGCTCAGGCTGGAGTTATTGAGGCAGCTGACTGGGATGGAAGCATGGTCTGTGGCCCAGAGCAGAGTGACATCACTAGCCTGAAATGACCAGAACTCCTAGGTTTCCCTGATGCACTAACCAGATCAGAGCCCTCAGCATGCACACTACATACATTTGGTAGGAAAGAAGCAAACTATTCAAAGAGACCATAGCATTGTTCATTCAACAATATTTACTGAGTACTCAGTAAGTATTTTAATTGTACTAGCACATCCAAACTTCACAACAACCCTGTAAGGAATTACTATTATTATACACATTCCTTTTTTTTTGTTTTTTTTTTTGAGACAGAGACTCACTTTGTCACCCAGGCTAGAGTGAGTGCCGTGGCGTCAGCCTAGCTCACAGCAACCTCAAACTCCTGGGCTCAAGCAATCCTCCTGCCTCAGCCTCCAGAGTAGCTGGGACTACAGGCATGCGCCACCATGCCCAGCTAATTTTTTCTATATATATTAGTTGGCCAACTAATAATTAATTTCTTTCTATTTATAGTAGAAATGGGGTCTCGTTCTTGCTCAGGCTGGTTTCGAACTCCTGACCTCGACCAATCCACCCATCCGCCTAGGCTTCCCAGAGTGCTAGGATTACAGGCGCCTGGCCCAGTTTGAAAGGTTTTTATAATCCTTCTGTATTTCCAAGAATAAGATGCCAATACATAAAGAGTTCAGCCATGATTTGCATTTGATTTCTGACACATAAAAGGTACCACCAGTCTAAACAGCATTAGAAAAGACCAATTTGAAAAAATTGCAAACTTCCTTAAAAAAAACTATTTAGAAGATGGTTATTCACATTATAAAATTCTTTTTTTTTTTTTTGGTGAGACAGAGTCTCGCTTTGTTGCCCAGCTAGAGTGAGTGCCATGGCGTCAGCCTAGCTCACAGCAACCTCAAACTCCTGGGCTTAAGCAATCCTCCTGCCTCAGCCTCCCAAGTAGCTGGGACTATAGGCATACGCCACCATGCCTGGCTAATTTTTTTTTATATATATATTAGTTGGCCAATTAATTTCTTTCTATTTTTTTATAGTAGAGACAGGGTCTCGCTCAGGCTGGTTATGAACTTCTGACTTTGAGCAATCCGCCCGCCTTGGCCTCCCAGAGTGCTAGGATTACAGGCGTGAGCCACCACGCCCGGCCTAAAACTCTTATTTAATTTGCAAAAGAATTCATCAAAAGGTTTCTTATAATAAATAGCAGCTCCATTTCCTGTATTAAAGTGTTGATTTTCAGGTGTCCAACACTTCCTATGCAGGAAGTCTGAAAGGCAAACTTAAATCAACACGAAGCACGGTCCATACAAGATCAAGAAGCCGGAAATCTTTAAGTGCCAGTTTCTAGAACTAGCGGGAAAATAGAATTCCAATTTCAAAGTCTGATTTATCATTGTCATGTGTTGGTAACACATGTGCAAGCAATGGCTTTAGGTAGTCAGTTTCTCCTAGACATTATTTCTATCATAGACATAAATGTCTCTAGGGACTTCAGTGCCTTCAGTGCCCTTCTGAGGTTTAGGTACATGATTAGGCGGAGAGGAGAAGAGGAGAAATATTATTACATTCATCATCCAACTGCTTAGCTAATTCTATTTTCTAAAAATATTTTTTTAACTTGAAAAAAGCTTTAGTATATTTATGTATTAACTTTGAGAGAAAGAAAATTATGAAAGGCTAATGAATGAAAACCACATCCCAACTGGCTTCTCTCTAGTTTAAACATTTCCAACATTCATTCCACATCCCGTCCGCATGCCCCGCATGTTTAATGTGTACCTTCTGCGAGTCACACTGTGCAGAAAGCTGGTGATGAAAAGAAGTCTCTGCCTTTGGGGAGCCCCCAGCCTGGGGAAGTGGTGTAACCTCCTCTCAGCCTGAGTTTACTTCTCAGGCCCTCCAATGATCATTTGATGTTTGGTACTTCTGAGTTTTAGAGATGCTAGAATGGTGTGATTGTTCCAAAGAATTATTATGACCTATGTAATATCCAAATTTCAAAACAAATGCCAAATACTGTGATTTTTAAGAGGCATTTTGAATGTTCTTCATGACTCTTCCATACTTTTGTAAATGAAATGCTAACTTAAGAGCTCGTCCCATTTAGATGATGCACAAGAATCTCAAAATTGAACTCATAATCCTATTGCCTCTCCTAACGATAACCAGCTTCTCTCCCACTACAGGCATCCAAAGGTTTATGCCTTAAACCTGGAAGCCAGACTCCAAACCTCCCTCTCTCTTACTGCCCACATCTAACCAATTAACCCAAGTTCTACCTCCAGAGTATCCCTTGAATCCACCCACTTCTCTCAATCCCCACTGCCGTGACACCACAGGGTAACTGCAAGACCTCCCTGCTGTTCTCCCCACCCACCCACAGGTGCCCCTCCAGTCTCCATGCTGCTGCCAGAATGATCTCCTAAAAATGGAGATCTGATAATCTCACTCCCCTTCTTAAGAACTTTCAAATGCTTCCCATTGCTCTCAGGTAATAGGCCCAAATCCTCACCTTGTCTACAGGTAGGTCCAGAAGACCTCTAGGCCTCATCTCACATCCTTCCTGACCCCCCTGGCCACACCCTTGACTGCAGTTCCTGTGACATGCTAAAAGGTCTTTCCAGTGGGCACAGGGCCTTCAACTGTTTGTTGGCTCCAGTTGAACACCCGCCCCCAACACTACTCCCAGCCTAAGTGTCACTTCCTCTCAAGCTTGCCTGGTTTCCCCGACAGGCTAGACACCCCTGCTCAACATTCCCATAGCATCCTGGGCTTCCTCACAGCACTGAGTGCATATAATTACACAACTAGCTGAGCACTTCTATTACTAGTCTGTAAGTCTCACTCTATCTTGTTCACTACTACATTCTCATGTCTAACACTAAATAGGTATACATTAAATTGTTGGTTGAATAAGTGAATAAATATATATATTTTTTGAGACAAGGTCTCACTCTGTTTCCCAGGCTGGAGTGCAGTAGCGTAATCACAGCTCACTGTAGCCTCAGACTCCTGGCCCAAGCAATCCTCCCATCTTGGCCTCCCCAAAAGGTAGGATTACAAATGAATATTTTAAAAGTTAGTTGTGATGGCCACATTAACTGCTTATAATTTATTCATATTTCGGGTTAAAAAGAAAATAAAGCAGCTGCAGTTTTGAGTTAATTTTTAGTAAACTCTTTGGAATCCATTTTCCCCGGAATTATTTTCAGCGATGGTTAGAAAAGAGTGGATAGCCTGGAATGGAGCCACCAGTTAAAACACCATTCAGGCCGGGCGCGGTGGCTCACGCCTGTAATCCTAGCGCTCTGGGAGGCCGAGGCGGGCGGATTGCTCGAGGTCGGGAGTTCGAAACCAGCCTGAGCGAGACCCCGTCTCTACTAAAAATAGAAAGAAATTAATTGGCCAACTAAAAGTATATATACAAAAAATTAGCCGGGCATGGTGGTGCATGCCTCCCAGCTACTTGGGAGGCTGAGGCAGGAGGATCGCTTGAGCCCAGGAGTTTGAGGTTGCTGTGAGCTAGGCTGACGCCATGGCACTCACTCTAGCCTGGGCAACAAAGTGAGACTCTGTCTCA